GACTCTGGGAGATCACAGTAGCAAACAACGGCACACTCAAGGCATACGACATCGGTGAGGTCTACCTTGAAGCTGATGACACAAAGTTCACAATTCACATTGGTGATGTGCTTGTCGCCCCAGATCTGCGGTACAACCTACTTTCTTCGGCGCAAGTCATGCGGTGCGGAGTCGACATTCGAAGCAATCGCAAAGACAAAACCTTCGAACTCTTTTACAACAACTCTTACATCGGCAAGGCAGTTGACGATGACGGAGTCTTCGTACTGCAGTTCTCGGCTCAAGGCGCCACTAGAGATTCTCACCGTACCTTGCTGCTGAAGACAACTCCCTGGGAGACACCAACATGGCCGCATCCCGCAGAAATGGATCTCGAGCGACCAGCCTCCGACAGTCTTCTACGACTTCGCACAGTCCCAATTGCCTCGACCTCCAACCCGACTGAGACTGGACCAACATCAATGGAAGAGGATAGTGGCACGTCAGGATCTTCCAAACCAGTCACTGAAGAAAAGGAGAAGACTGAAACAAGCGCAGGCAGATCCGGCCCTCCACTTGGACCCTTGGGAGAAGTCCTGACGCCAAAAGAAGCAGCACCAGAAGAGCGAGGGACTGTCTCGGCGTCGGAAAGTGGCGCCACCGCTCCAACGGATGCCGGTGCTGGAACCGGCGGATGGGGAACCGGCGGCTGGGGAACTGGCGACACTTGGAGAACCACAACAAGCGAAGGAGGCTGGAGGCAAACGGCTCCTGCCTACCCCAAAGCCCCGGGTCTCCCTCCTGCAGACACCGTGGCGGTCGATCCCTACTAGGCAACACGTGGCACCGGCTGCAGTGGACCTCCCCTCTCGGATCAGTATGCTCCTGACACACCCGAACCAATGCAAGAAGAGTCAGAAGAAGAAGTGACCTACAAATTCTTCGGAGGAGCAGCAGAATTACCTGAACCTACCGAGGAGCCACCACCACTAGAACAAGGACCACAGGAGATTGAGGTCATCGGCGTCGAGTACAGTTACTTCCGCATCCTCGTGAAGGGACTTCCAGTTCGCGAATGGCCCAATCAGTGCGTGCTTGTCACAGGCGACCAAGTCGACGCTGGCGTCACCGATGACATCGTTGGAATCCCACACGCGCTTCTGGAACGGAAGTCAATTCAAGCCTTCGCCGCCGAGACTGACGACACCGCCGACGTGTTGAGATACTAGCATAAGTGGTAGTTTAAGTTTTAGGTAGGGCCTAGGCTAGTAGGGCCTAGGCTTAGTAGCCTAGGCCAAGGGGAAGTCGAGGAGGTTGTGCCAAGGTGAGAGTCGAGAATGGGGAAAGTGATGTTCACTATAGCACTAGGGTACATATAGTAAACAGAGCATGCAAAGAAGGTGCACCACCAACAGTTTATAATAACTACACTAAACTACAGCTACAGGCAGTTACATATAAATTCTAACACGACGCAGGACCTCGAAAGGAGCAAAACGACGTAGCATCAAGAAACACATATTATCAGAAGTTAGTCGGCACAACCAGAAATCTGGCATCAGCGGCTTGGCCACCCCTCACACACAACTCTCAAAAACTCCCTCCGGGTTGGTGTTTTCAACGACGGAGCGCTACTTCTTCCCCGCGAAGGCTTCCTCACAGTAAACTCAGAAGACCCACCATGCACGGTGTGCCCCACTGCGTCACTTGCCCACAAGCCCTTTCCCGACCTACCGCCCGGCTACGAACGCTATAAACCACTCGATAAGGTTAACATCGACTTCATGAATTTTGAGCCAAGGAGGGCTTGACGGTGAACACTACACGCTTACCTTCATCGACGCAAGCACTCGCTACGTCTGGGCCGTTAACACTGACCGCAGATCACTCGCCTTCGTGTGCTTCATCGCGTGGATGAAATGGGCCGAACGACAATCAGGGCTGAAATTAAAAAGCTGGCAGACAGACGGAGCCCTGGAGTTCTTCTCAGACGAGTTCAAGGAGCTGTTCAAACAGAAAGGGATTGAACACCTGGTGTCCCTGCCCTACGCTCACGAGCAACAAGGAGTAGCAGAACGGACAAGCAGGAGCCTCGCCACCAAGATGAGGGCCCTGATGAAGCAGTCAGCCATCCCAACAACATACTGGCCGTTCGCGATGAACCATGTAGTCCGACTGCACAAGTTGCTGTTCTCTTGAAGCCTCGAGAACAACAACTCTCCCTACAGAGCATGGACGGGCAGAAAGGCAGACACACGTCTGCTTCGGGTGTTTGGCTGCATGGTACAGTACAGGCCCGACACGGCAAGGACCGGAAAATTTGTTGACCGGGCACGATGGGGTATCCACCTCGGGATCGAAAGGGAATACAAGGCGTGGATCATGCTGGACTACGCGACACACGAAGTGCCAAAATCATGTGACTGCATCTTCTGCGAGAAGCTGACTCTGCCACTGTTCAACGAACGCCGCGAAGCTGACAAGGCACCGGAAAGGATTTTCGAGGGACACCGCAGCTTCGCAACCTCACACGATGAAGCTGACCTAGCAGAAGACGTGCATGCAACAAATGTCACCCAGTTTGACAGCACACCCAACATCCCCCTTACAAGCCCGCTCCAAACTCCAACCTTCATACCTGTACACCACTTCGATCCCGATGATACAACTCGTGAAGCCCACAACTTCAACAGCGATGCACGCCGATCCCCGGATGCCGAGTTCCCAGCACCAAACCCCTCGCAGGACACCCTCCGCCTCGGCAACGACAGCGACGATGACGTGGTCGAAGTAACCAGCTTCCACGACTACGATCGCATGCACTACGAAAAGACCAACGAAACAGGCCTCCGCATCCTCGGGCTCGCAGTTGCTGTTCGCCACGACTCGCCAAGCTCTCTCTAGCCCCGACAGTGAAAAATGGAAGGCAGCCATGGCTAAGGAGGTCGCGGCGCTCAAGACCCGTGGAACATGGAAGCTTGTTCCCCGGACATCTACGAAGGGGAGAAAGATTCTCAGCGGAAAATGGGTCTTCTGCATTAAAACACTCCCAGATGGCTCCATCAACAAATACAAGGCACAATGGGTGGTGCGCGGCTTTGAGCAAACTCACCTGGTGGACTTCGACCTCACCTACGCACCTGTCGGACGGCACACTTCAGTACGGATCCTCATTTGCATCGCAGCCGTCAAACAATGCCCACTTCGCCAGATCGACGTTGGCAGTGCATTCTTGTACGCCCCGGTCGACGCCGTCATCTTCGTCAAGTAGCCGCACGCCTTCGAAGAAAACGACGGTGCCGTCTAACTGCTTCAGAAATCTCTCTACAGGATTAAGCAAGCGCCTCGCTTGTAGCAGCAGTACCTGCATACCGTCCTTACGGAGCTTGAATTCAAGCAGCTGCCACACGACCTCGGGATGTACTGAAAGGAGTCGCGCGGAAAATTCATCCTCCTCGTCGCCTACGTCGACGACCTACTCTACACCGACAACGATACGGAGCTACTAGACCAGTTTGAAGCGAACATCAAGGAAAAGCTAGAGGTTACAATCAACCACGACGTCACACAGTTCCTGGGCCTTAACATCACCCAGTCCGCCACCTCCATTCACCTCTCCGCCACCAAATACGCCGAAACACTCGCGAAGACATTCGACATCGCTCCCATCAATCTCACTACCCCATTTCGCACTCCTCCTCCTAATCACAAACCAGACACCACGCCTCTCAACCTCGAGAATCATCGGCTCTATCAACAGCAGCTGGGGTGCCTCCTGTTTGCCGCCGTCACGTGTCGGCCTGGTCTCTCTTACGTCGCAAGCCAGCTCGCTCAGAACATGAAGCGACCTGAAGGGGAAAATATGCTGGATCTACGCCGCACACTTCAATACTTCATCTCTACTCCCGACGTCGGCCTCACCTACGAAGCCAACTTAACGGATACCCTGCAGCTGCATGGCTACGTGAATGCAGACCATGCGGGAGATGTTGACAACAGACGCTCCCGCACAGGATTCATTTTTCAACTTCAACATGCTGGACTCATCTCATGGAACTCTCAGAAGCAGGAACTCATCGCCCTTTTGTCAGCCGAAGCCGAATTCATCGCTGCCAGCGCAGCTGTTTGCGAAGGATTGTACATGATGGAGCTCCTGCAAGAGGTGAAAGTGACGATGAACGGGCACTTGACGTTACTATGCAGCAACCTGTGCGCGATCAAGATCGCGAACAAGCCCGGTTTCGCTCTTCGCTACTTTTTCGTCAAAGACGAAATTGACAAAGGCAAGGTCAAGCTCACGTACTGCCCAACTAGTGACATGGCGGCTGACTTCCTGACAAAGAAACTGCCACGTCAACAGTTTCAGCACTGCGCCAATCTCTGCGTGATCACCAAGAAGTCATACGTGGCTCACCTTCAGGAATGAAAGGGAGTGTTGAAATAACCGAAAGGTTATTATAAGCATTCTCGAAGGCTCTCCAACTCTCGCGTCACTTCATAACGAAGTAGGCGCCTGTATCAGTACCGCATTAGCTCATATAGAGCAAGCGGAAGGTGGAGGGTCACTCGATCGAAGGTCAACAGTCGAAGACAGTCAACGGTCGTGACCCTTGACTGCCCAGTAACCACTCAAGGCAGTTGCGAAGTGCAACATGGTAACTGTCTAAAATGGAAATAGTCGTGGTTACTGTAGCAATGTAATTCGGTTAATAACGGAATGTACCCCTCAGAGTACATGGCTAGCTAGGATTGCTATTTATATTCTTGTACTCCTACCTTACAATCATCTTGTTTTGTCTTAACTTATTAACAAGGTCATTACAGAGACTTCACAGTTCTCTCACTTATACTTAGCGGCTTTATCCTATCCACTGCGATCCTTCAGTTATAACATCTGTGTGGAACTGGTATGGTAATCACAATCAAGTACGGGCAGTGCATGGTGGTGCTATACGTTCTAGAGAGATCGAGACTAGAAGGGGCTATATTTTCGGGAATTACGGTTGTGTTGCCTGTGGAAGCTACAAGTTGTGCAGAGCATGTTCGAGGCTGACAAAGGAGAGAACGAGGAAGACAGAGAGGTGCAGCGCAAGCACGTAAGCCACCACGAGCGAGCGCACAAAGGAGTTGCGCTGCAGCGCACTGCCAACGCGCAGACTCAAGGCGTCCAGCGCTCGTGCCGCGTCCACCACGTGCTCCCACACGCGCATGCGCAGCGCCCTCTGCTTGCTCTTGCCACTCGGATCGTCCTCCGTGCTGCCTCGTGTCCTGTAGGTGGGCAGGGAGGGTGAGGAAGGTAATGAAGGTGAGGCGCACAGCGGAACAGCACAGGTGGTGCTGAATGAACCCATGCATGCGGTCAGTGGTATTGCATGCGGGATTGCATGCGTGGGGGCAGCAGGAAGGATAAAGGATGAGAAATGGTTGGCGGCGAAAGGGCGGAGGCAGGTGGCAATGCATGTGAGGTGCACAGCACAGTGGTGGTTGGAAGCGCACGGCACTCACACTGAAGCGCCAGCACAGACCCCCCACAACCAGCTCAGCGCTGCCACCATACGGTGCTCAACCCCTCTGCCCGCACCCCACCCTCTGCTCCCCTCAACCCGCCACCGCCCTCTCTCCCTGCTCCCAACCTCGCCCCGTGACCCCCCCACCCTCCCTAAACCGCCCCCAGTGCTGCCGCCCTGCTCCCCCACGGCCAGCAGCAGGTGCGTGCGCTCCCCCCTTGTGTGGTCCAGCTGCTGCTGCAGCCACGCCACCTCGCTGCTCAGCGCCTCCGCCTGTGCCTGCCGCGTGGGGAGGGAGGGAAGGAATTGAAGAGGGTGGGGGGGAAGAGGGAGGAAAGGGTGAGAGGGGGTGAGGGGGAACTACAACAGAGGGGTGAGACCCTCGTATTCGGATTGAACGGAGACAGAGCTTGGAAGTGAGGTGACAGTCTGGTTATGCGTCAACATGCCCCGTGGGAAAGAGGAGCCCACTCGGGAACATGTCAGTCGGAAATGCTCGCTACATGTTGCTTCACCATCACACCTCCACTCCTCTCCGCCCGCCTCAAGTCCTCTCCCACCCACCCTGCACTCACCTGCTTGCCCTGCACTCACCTGCTTGCCCTGCACTCACCTGCTTGCCCTGCACTCACCTGCTTGCCCTGCACTCACCTGCTTGCCCTGCACTCACCTGCTTGCCCTGCACTCACCTGCTTGCCCTGCACTCACCTGCTTGCCCTGCACTCACCTGCTTGCCCTGCACTCACCTGCTTACCCTGCACTCACCTGCTTACCCTGCACTCACCTGCTTGCCCTGCACTCACCTGCTTGCCCTGCACATTCTCTGACAGCGCCCTCAGGCGGCGCTCCAGTTGCTTCTCGCGCTCCCCTGCCACGCATGCCGCCATGCCCAGTGGCGGGCCCAGAGGAATGGCAATGGCGGGATGAGAGGCCGGCCAGACAATGGCAGAGAAATGAAGGCAATGGAGGGGCAGGAGGAATGGCCATCCGCACTTAATGTACAGTAGGCGGGCGGCAATTGTGCAGGCCCAAGCGACCTCTCTGCCCAAGCGACCTCTCTGCCCAAGCGACCTCTCTGCCCAAGCGACGTCTCTGCCCAAGCGACCTCTCTGCCCAAGCGACCTCTCTGCCCAAGCGACCTCTCTGCCCAAGCGACCTCTCTGCCCAAGCGACCTCTCTGCCCAAGCGACCTCTCTGCCCAAGCGACCTCTCTGCCCAAGCGACCTCTCTGCCCAAGCGACCTCTCTGCCCAAGCGACCTCTCTGCCCAAGCGACCTCTCTGCCCAAGCGACCTCTCTGCCCAAGCGACTTCCCTGCCCAAGCGACCTCCCTGCCCAAGCGACCTCTCTGCCCAAGCGACCTCTCTGCCCAAGCGACCTCCCTGCCCACCTGCGGTCGGCTGCTTGGCCAGTGCTGCCTGTTGGGCGAGCAGTTGGTGCTTCAGAGATGCCACCTCACCATCCAACATGGCCTGGTGACGTGGCACACAATGTCAGCAAGGGTGGCAATGGCATGGGCGGAGTGAGGAGGTGGTGGCGGGTGGTGAGGGGCTGAGAGGCACGGATGGTGAGGCGAAGCACGGGCAGCATGAGAGGGCTCTGAGAAACAAGCGAGGAAAGAATCCGGGGAATGTGCATAGACGTGAGGGGGGGCAGAGTAACAAACACGAAGGCAGGTGAAGGAGGAAGGGAGAAGATGCAGGGACGGGCACAGAGGGGCATGTGCACTCACCAGCTCCTGCTGCTCATCTGCACAAGCCCCTCTCCCATCCTGCTCACTTCCCCCCTGCCTCGCGTCATCCCCCTCTGCTGCACCTCCCTGCATACGCCTTGATCCATCCTGCCCTCCCCCCTCGCTCCCTGCATGTCCCTGCTGCTGCTGCTGCTGCTGCTGCTGCTGCTGCTGCTGCTGCTGCTGCTGCGCCTCACCACCTGCGTCAGCACCACCCGAGTTATCATGCAGCAGCGCAGCACTGGTGGCGGAGGCTGGGCCGGGCACTGCAGCGGCGGCAGCGGTGCTGCTGTCGCGAGCGGGCGTGGCGGCGTGCAGGGCAGACAGGCGTGCTGTGAGCAGACTGTGCCGCGCCTCAAGGTCCTGCATGGGATGGGATGGGGATATGGGGGGCGGATGGGGATGGGGATGCGGCTGGTGTTAGATTACGTGCAGATAGCTACCTTTGTGTTGTGTGCTTGTACGAATTGCTGGGTATACCTTTGTGCTGAGCAGCCGATCCTATGCAATCGAGTCCCCAAGCACAAACGAATGTGGTTGGTCAATCCAACCCAACCCAGCCAGCAGTAGAGGGCGGGTCAACCCAACACCATTGGTCGTCCCAACACCATTGGTCGTCCCAACACCATTGGTCGTCCCAACACCATTGGTCGTCCCAACACCATTGGTCGTCCCAACACCATTGGTCGCCCCAACACCATTGGTCGCCCCAACACCATTGGTCGTCCCAACACCATTGGTCGTCCCAACACCATTGGTTGTCCCAACACCATTGGTCGTCCCAACACCATTGGTCGTCCCAACACCATTGGTCGCCCCAACACCATTGTTCGCCCCAACACCATTGGTCGTCCCAACACCATTGGTCGTCCCAACACCATTGGTCGCCCCAACACCATTGGTCGCCCCAACACCATTGGTCGTACCAACACCATTGGTCGTCCCAACACCATTGGTCGTCCCAACACCATTGGTCGTCCCAACACCATTGGTCGTCCCAACACCATTGGTCGTCCCAACACCATTGGTCGCCCCAACACCATTGGTCGTCCCAACACCATTGGTCGTCCCAACACCATTGGTCGCCCCAACACCATTGGTCGCCCCAACACCATTGGTCGTCCCAACACCATTGGTCGTCCCAACACCATTGGTCGTCCCAACACCATTGGTCGTCCCAACACCTTTGGTCGCCCCAACACCATTGGTCGTCCCAACACCATTGGTCGTCCCAACACCATTGGTCGCCCCAACACCATTGGTCGCCCCAACACCATTGGTCGTCCCAACACCATTGGTCGTCCCAACACCATTGGTCGTCCCAACACCATTGGTCGTCCCAACACCATTGGTCGCCCCAACACTATTGGTCGTCCCAACACCATTGGTCGCCCCAACACCATTGGTCGTCCAAAGACCATTGGTCGCCCCAACACCATTGGTCGTCCCAACACCATTGGTCGCCCCAACACCATTGGTCGTCCCAACACCATTGGTTGTCCCAACACCATTGGTCGTCCCAACACCATTGGTCGTCCCAACACCATTGGTCGTCCCAACACCATTGGTTGTCCCACATTTGTGATCCAGCCACCTCTGGTGGCCTTACCTGATGATTCTCTTTCCTCTCTACCCCACCTGAACTCGCTGATCATATCAGCATTCGTTTCAGGTGAAGATGGGACTGAGTGTGAAGGATCGCAAGACACCGCCTCCCCATGGAAGAGGGAAGACTCGTGGAGGGAAGCACATGTGAATCAGGTGGCTGTGATCACACACACCGTACACGAGCGCGGGTCCTACAGCCCGTCAATCCATGCCCGTTGCTGGTTCTTTGGAGAAGCAGCCCGTTGCTGCCATGCCACGCCCGGCCATGCCACGCCCGGCCAGGCCACGCCCGGCCAGGCCACGCCCGGCCAGGCCACGCCCGGCCACTCCCCTCCCACGTGCGGTAACCTAGATCACAGATGAAAGTTAAGAGAGGATGCTCAGTGGACACCCCACTTAGGTAGCTCGTTCACTCTGGATCATATGTCAAGAAATCTCGGGTAAGAGACAGCTGCTTGCGTTGACAAAGGAGAAGATGCTGGGGAGATACCTGGCTGGGGAGATACCTCGCTGGGGAGATACCTCGCTGGGGAGATACCTCGCTGAGCGCAAGAAAATACGGCATCATCGTGACCACCCCGTTGGAGCTTGCTTCAATCACAAATTCTTCTTCGCTCATGCAATGCCCATGCGCCCTGTGCTTATCAATGCTACCAGGCAATCTGTGCCTCTCAATGCTACCAGGCAATCTGTGCCTCTCAATGCTACCAGGCAATCTGTGCCTCTCAATGCTACCAGGCAATCTGTGCCTCTCAATGCTACCAGGCAATCTGTGCCTCTCAATGCTACCAGGCAATCTGTGCCTCTCAATGCTACCAGGCAATCTGTGCCTCTCAATGCTACCAGGCAATCTGTGCCTCTCAATGCTACCAGGCAATCTGTGCCTCTCAATGCTACCAGGCAATCTGTGCCTCTCAATGCTACCAGGCAATCTGTGTCTCTCAATGCTACCAGGCAATCTGTGCCTCTCAATGCTACCAGGCAATCTGTGCCTCTCAATGCTGCCAGGCAATCTGTGCCTCTCAATGCTTGCAGCCACCGCAACCACAAACCCACACTTGCTTGCCTCCCCTCCCCCCCCCTTCCTTGCTCTGCACCTTCATATCCTTCGTCCCCCTCTCATCTCACTCATGGTTCCACCAAAGCTTTCCATGTCCTGCCCGCAACAGCCTCCCGCCTGACCTGAATGCAGCGAGTGACCCGCGTGTGCTCCGCCACGCGCTCCTCCATCTGCCTCCGAATGCGCGCCACTGCCCTCGCCTGCCCTGCTTGCTCCTCCCTCAGCGCCCCCTCCCGCTCCTCCGCCTGCCACAAGCGAGGGAATAAGCAAACCGTGGAAAGTAAAGGATCAGCACGGATGGGCAAGCGGCGGGGAACATGAGTTGATGGCACAAAGGCCTAATGGTTGAGTTTATATTGTTATCACTCATGTGTATGTACAAGTGGTGATAGTACCATAGACCCACGAGAAATGACATGGATGGTCTTGCCGTGCACAGGAGATGAGCAAATGACCCGACCCGACCCGACCCGACCCGACCTGGCCGGGCTACACGGGCTCCCGGGGTCGGGTCGGGCCAGGCTCGGGCCAGGTTCCTGAAAGGTCTGACCCGACCCGGGCCTACACACTCAAGTCAGCTTGGACCCGGTAACGGGTCGGGTCGGGTCAGGCCAGTCTCACCCGCCCTTTAGAGGGAGCAGGGGTGTAAAACGCCAAGTTGTAAAAAAACGCCATTCCTGCATCGCAATTTTCCGTGAACAGCAGGATACGATAGTAAACTAGCTATAAATGTCTGTCAATGAGGTTTAAACGGGCCCTAACTAAGTAGTTTCTAAGCTTAGGTGACTTGCTTGCTGCCGTTAGGCAAGATTGAGAGCGTGGGTAGGTTCTGATGTCGAGGGGATAAAAAACCCCTCGATCACAAATTGAACTAGGGTTTTGTGCCCTCTGTATTGACCCGAATTCGGGTCGGGTCAAGCTTGACCCGAAACCCGACCCGACCCGGCCCGATTTCCATGCTCGGGTCGGGTTTTTGATCGGGTCGGGTCGGGTCGGCTCGCACGGGGCAGGCAAATGAAACCACTGCCCCGACCCGGGCTAAACCACGGGTCGAGTCGGGCCAGCCCGACATGAGCGGGGCAAATGCTCATCTCTACAGGAGCAAGCACAGATGAGTAACTAGGAGTCGACAAATGGGACGCACATGCACATGAATACTGGGACTGATAGCCCTGTTGTGTTGACCGTAAGCACTTTTCGTGCCTCGTCCCGCTTCTGCCTTTCTGCGTCTCTTCCCCGCCGGCATCGTCGTGGAAGCAGCACATGCTCACGGGGAAGAGACGCAGAGAGGCGGAAGCGGAACGAGGCACGAGGAGTGCTTACGAATAACACAGCAGGCCCAATACTCCCAGTATTAAGCGACGCTGGTACTGCACAAACCACACACACACAAATGGGACGCATAGGGATGTGCGTGGATTCACTCACACACACATGGAATAAACCACTCAGTCACTTAGTCCAGCCAAGCAGCACCCGTTCCTCCTTGAGTCCCATCCTTCACATAATATTCTCTATCCAAACCCATCCCTCCCTCCATCACACCCATCCCATCCCTTCATGCCCATCCCATGCATCACCTCGTGGCGTGTAGCAGCATGTTTTGACCTCTCCTGCTCCAGCGCTGATGTGGCAGCTGCCAGCTCAGCATGCAGGCTGCCGATCTCCTGGGCCGCCCTGTCAGCCATGTGCTGTGCCGCCTGCTGCAGCCGCTCTATCTCGCCCACCACTACTGACACCTGGGGGGGGTGAAGGAGGGGAACGGGGAGAGGGAGGAGAATGATGCAAGGGACAACAAGCTTTTCGCTTCCAGCAATATTTGCAACTACTCGCTGTACCCGTGCCTCCATCTGCCGGCACCCACCCGCGCCTCCATCTGACTGCACTCGCGGCTGGCGTGGTCAAACTCGGAGCGCATGGCAGGGCTGGTCCACGCGTGTGCCTCCATGCGGCGGCGCCACGACCGCATGGCGTCCATCTCCACCGATGGGCTGCGCGCCACCGCCAGCACCCGAGGCACCTGCGCCCCCAACAGCCCCCGCCTGCTGCTGCCTGTGTTGTTGCTGCTGCCGCCCGCCATGCTGCCGAGACTTGTGGACAGCGGTGCAGCCGCGCTGTCACTCTCTGCATCACCGGGCTCCTCTGCCGCTGTGCTGCTGCTCTTCGCACTCACAGCAGCGTTGCCAACGCTGCCGCTCGCGCTGCTTGGGAGCGTGGCCACACTGGTAGATCCGCTGCTGCCACTCGTGCTGCTTCCCCCAACTTCACCTCGCCCTGCTGCCACTGCTGCACCAGCCCCCTCATCCCTATCATCTGCAGGTTCTCCCGTTTCTCCATTTGGACCTTCCTTGCGTTGTGATTCTTCTCCTGCACCCTTCCCCTGCACTCCCCCACGATCCTCCGTCGCCTCCTCGCCACCTCCCTCCCCTCCTTCGTCCCCCCCTCCTTGCATCTCCCACTCGCCGCCCCACGCCTCGAACTCATGTGCATGCCACTCGCCCGTGCCGCTCAATGCGCTTCCCTCGCCACCCCACTTGCCGCCCGCAGCAGCAGCGCCACCCTCCCTTGCACGCCTCAAGCCACCACCGCTGCTGCCACTGCCTGCCGCATGCCCCCCGCCTGCACGCGCTCTGCCCTCCTCTGCGTGCCGCTGGCCCCCACCTCCACGCCCCACAACGCCCAGGCTGCTGCTGCTCGCAAGCCCCCGCCCACTAGCGCTCCCACCACGCTCCCCCACACCCCCACCACTGCCATGCGTGCCCCAACCGCCACGCTCCCCCTCCCCCTCCACCACCCCGCCCAGCACCTCTCTGCTCCCCGCCCGCCCCTCACCGTGCTCACCCCCCGACTCCAGCCCTCCTCCGCCCGCCACTGCACGTCGCCCCTCCGGGCCTTCCCAGGAGCGGCGCCCCCCCAACGGCGGCAGGTGGTCGCTGGCGTACCCGGCGCTGCTGGCGTCGCCGTCGCTCGCGTCCACCCACGCCGAGTCCGACACCTGCCCGTCCGTCGCCGCGCCCCACTCGCGCCGGTGCTTCCTGCGGGGAGGGGGGAGGGGGGAGGGGAGAGGGGGGAGGGAAGAGGAGGGGGGGGTGTGCGGGGAGGCACGGCGGCAGGAGACACGGTGTGATGTCGGCGCTCCGCATGGGCGGCAGCGCAGAAGCACGACGCGAGGCTCTGCTGAGAGGCATGGCGACTGGGGGATGCTAGTCCTTGGCATGAGGCTCGGTTACGGCGACCGGAGCGAGAGGGCGCTGGCAGTTGGAACGAACGACGCGATGCTGCACGCACCTGCGATGAGGGTTTGTGGAGTCGCTCAAGCTCGCCGCTGATTGGTCGACAGCCTCCAGCACATTCGACGCCCACGACAGGAAGTTAGCAACCGGCTTGCGCGGCATGGCGACGGGAGAACGGCCCAGATCTTGACCTCGCTTGCGGGCTAAGAGAATTTGAGTCGACGAAGATTCAACAGCTCTGAGAGTTCTCGAAAAAATCACTGCTCGCTAAGAGTTCCTCGAAAACCTATTGGACTCTTCTCGCTCGTACCAGCGCAATGCCGTTATGAGTTTCGATATTATCACTTGCAACACGTCCTAAGGCGCGAAACCATGCTGATATTCGTGTGAGAGGAGGCACGAGCAAACGCTGCTATCTTACGTCGTATTAGCGCAGGAGCGCTATAATGAAGCAGGTTTTTTTAGGGGGTGCTCTTATCGTCTAAAGTTTCGATAAGAGCATGAGACCAAATTGACGCATTTTGCCAAGAGGATTTTAGCCATTCAAAAATTATCAAAATCGTGCATGTATTATGTGTGAAATGGCCAATCAAGAGTGGATTTAGGTATGCCTTCCACGCCTTGTTGGACTGGCCAGGTTTATCGAGCATAAACCTGGCTCATGAGAGCGTACACAGGATAGGGTTCGGGTATCAGACCTGAATGAAGAAACTGTTGGGCTGAGAAAAGCCCTTAGGATCTTTGCAGGACTAAACTCCAAGTAGGAACAATGTAATAGCGGAAGCGTTTAATGATAAGTTTGTAAACCACCTTGCGCTGGTATGTAAGCAGGGTAATAGTCAGTGATAGGGTGAGAGGAGACAGTAAGAGACGACGCATGAGGTGGCGTAAGAACAGATACAGGCGGAGCACGACGAGGACTAGAATGAAACAAGACAGTGCGGAGGTCGTCAAAATGAGACGAGGGACAAGCACGCGGAGGACAATGAGTGGTCCAGTCGTGCGGGAGAACAGTGGGAGGCAATTTTGACTGAGGAGAGAAAAGAGCCGGAGCCGAGGTCGGAAGTGGAAACGTAATTCCGTACGCGGTAGGAGACTGTGAGTGGATATGAGGAGCGAAGGGAAGACCAAGGGCCCGAAGGCCACTCACTAGTGTGAACAGCTGTTACAAAAGTGGCGTCTGCGGCGAACGCTGCTGCTACTGCTGCAGCTGCAGCTGCTGCTCCTGCAGGTCCAATTGCCGCAGCTCCTGCCTCTCCTCCTCCAGCTGCTCCTGCTCTGTCAGAATAATATATAATTTTATATATTGTTTTGTAACTGCCTGTAGTGTAGACTACTGTAGTTATACAATATTCTGTTTGGTGGTGCACCTTTCTTCTTGCCTATATGTACTGCTCGCTCTATAGTGAAACCTCTCTCTTCTCTTTTCAACTTTCTCGACTCTCCTAACTCAACTCACTCGAACTCAAGCCATGGCTCCCAAGCCAACTTCTTCCTAGTTACTTTGACATGGTATCAGAGCACGTAACGTTCCTGGCCTCTTGCTTCCGCTGCTACTGAGTGTACTGCACACCCCGTGGTGTGCTCTACTGTCGCGGCCCCGCCGCTCTACTGTCGCGGCCCCGCCGCCCTTCTTAAGCGGCCCCGCCGCCCTACTGTCGCGGCCTCGCTGCCTCTCTGCTGTCGCGGCTCCGCCGCCCTACTGTCGCGGCCCCGCCGCCCTCCTCTCGCGGCCTCGCCGCCCTGCTTTCGCGGCCTCGCCGCCTCTCTGCTGTCGCGGCTCCACCGCCCTACTGTCGCGGCCCCGCCACCCTCCTGTCGCGGCCTCGCCGCCCTGCTTTAGCGGCCTCGCCGCCCTACTGTCGCGGCCCCGCCGCCCTACTGCCGCGGCCCCGCCGCCCTACTGTCGCGGCCCCGCCGCCCTATTCTGCGGCCTCGCCGCCCTACTCCTGCGGCCCCGCCGCCCTACGTCGCGGCCTCGCCGCCCACATTTGCGGCCCCGCTGCCCTCTGTTGCGGCCCCGCCACCAGAGGCCCCGATGTCACCTGCGGCCCCGCCCACTTGCGGTCCCGACCCTGTCCCGGCCATGCCTCGTCACCAGCTGCGGCACACCGGGGGCACGTGCACCGGCCCCCCCCTTCTTCCCGTCACCTGTCGCGGCTCCTTCGGGGGCCGCACGCGGCCCCCTCAGGTCGCCTCGACAAGTGACGGGAGGGGCGACCTGAAAGGGGGGGGGAGTCGTCGCCCCCTCTGCCGCTTGCTTTGGCGCCCGGGGAGGCCGTGCGTCGCCCCCCCCCCCCCCCCCCCCCCTTCCCCCCCCCCCCTTCTCCTCCTCCTTTTGTTCCCTCTGCTGCAGCTGCCGCTGGGGGGGGAGGGGTGAGAGTGTGGGGGAGCCCGGGGAGGGACTGGGGGAGGCGGGTGTGGGGGTGATGGGTGAAGTGTGGTCCCCTGGCCCTACGGCCCCATCCTCCTCTGTTTGCCCCCCCCCCCCCTCTCTGCTGCTCCTGCAGCAGTGTGGGAAGGGGTGGGGGAGGGGGAGGTGGAGGATGAGGGGATGTAGGTGGTGACCAACCAGAGCCTATCACCTCCTCTTCTCTCTCTCACCCTCTCTCCTCCTCCTTGCCTGCCCTCTCCCATTCTGCTATGCATTCTTGGTGTACCCCTTCAGGGGGCGTTGACTGCACATTCTTCCCTACAGGCACTTATGGGGGCGTGTCAGAATAATATATAATTTTATATATTGTTTTGTAACTGCCTGTAGTGTAGACTACTGTAGTTATACAATATTCTGTTTGGTGGTGCACCTTTCTTCTTGCCTATATGTACTGCTCGCTCTATAGTGAAACCTCTCTCTTCTCTTTTCAACTTTCTCGACTCTCCTAACTCAACTCACTCGAACTCAAGCCATGGCTCCCAAGCCAACTTCTTCCTAGTTACTTTGACATGCTCCTCACGCTCACATCAGCGTGCCGCCTGAGGACGTGTGTCGTGGCAGTGGGGAGGCGCAGTAGTAGTGCCTCCAGCTCTAGTCTCCTCGGAACTAGCACCTCCAGTGCCAGTACCTCCTGCTCCAGTACTCCCAGAACTAGCACCTCCAGCGCCAGCACCTCCAGCTCCAGCACCCTCGAAGTCCACAGTAACCTGTCGCGGAAGTGCTGAAGGCTGCAGAGCGGACTGTGAGGAGGACTGCGGGGAGGGATGCGCTACCTGACGCGCGATCGAGGGTAAAGGGGTAGCGTGAGACGCACTTGACGGGGCAGGATAAGGGGGGGCCGGGGGTACCGGGGGAGCGGGAGCAGGAGGAGGAGAGGGTGCGAGGAAAAGGGGAGGAGGGGGAACCGAGAGACCTCAACAGGGGTAGCAAGCATAGTAGGACACTGATCCGTCAAACTAGACCCTACGGAAGTCTAGGAACTGGTGGAGGGGCAGGTGGTAAAAGGCGTAGTCGGGAGAGTCCACCGGGAAACCAAGGAAGACACAGGGGATGGCGCGAGCCGAGAGCTTGTCCGCAAAGGTGTCGCGGACAAGCACAAGGCAGCCCCAAACACAAAAGGCCGACCCAACACCAAGGGACCCGGTCCAAAGACTGGTCGGTGAAGCCTCTGGCCGCGAGACAGGTGGCTGGAGGTTCAATTGGTGGACGGCGTAGCGAGCCGCGTAGGGCCACAGAAAATGGGGCGCACGTGCATGGATCATGGACGTGCGAGCAATGTCTATGACCGGGCCAATGCGGCACTCAGCAACCCCATTCTGCTATGGGGACTCCGGAATCGTCCAGGATTGTGAGATGCCCTGTTCGCCGCAGAATCCGCGAACAATGCTGGAGCGAAACGCGCCCCCATGGTCGTAGTGGAGACAGGAGACACGACTGCCACGAGTGCCCTTAGTGGCCAGAAGCCTCCGGATCAGCGTAAAAGTCACCTCGGACTTCTTTGTGAAAGGAAACACCATGGTGTACCTGGAGTAGTCGTCGACGACCACCAGAAAGTAGCGCTCCCTCTCAGGTCCCTGCGTAAAGGCAGTGTCCCAAACGTCCAAGTGGAGAGTCTGGAAGGGATCAGTGGCCTGGCAAAGGGAGGAGGAGTAAGCGCGCAGGCGGCCGGCGACGCAACGAGTGCACGGCGGTGCAGGCGATGGAGGGAGCAACGCAAACACGCGAGGGAGACCCAAGACAAGAGGATGACTAGCCATGTTGCAGAGGCGGGGGATCAACTGGTGGCCAAGATGGTGGTGCCACAAGATGGTCGAGTGGGCGAGAGATCGACAGGAGCTAGACGCAGCAACCTGACCAGACGCAGCAACCTGACTAGACACAGCAACCGGAGGGGACACAGTAACCTGACCGGAATCTGCTACCTAGGGGGACGCAGTAAACTGGCCAGACTCTGCTACCTAGTGGGACGCAGTGTGCACAACAAAGAGACCTGAGTGGGGCTCTCTGGTGAACGTGTCAAGAAGTGCCCCAGTGGAAGCGTCCGTACAGATCGCCGTCCTTACGTGGGCAGGGAAAGTGATTGTGATCCCACGGTCCTGAAGTTATTCAACACCCACCAAGTTCCGAGAGAACGAGGGGATGTAGAGACCCTTGAGGAAACCAGAAGGGACAGCCGGGGACGGGAGAGTGGTCGAGCTGCGAGTGAATGCTGGTCCTGAAGTAGGATCAACCAGGGCAGCTGGGACTGGAGCCGAAAGAGGTGTGACAGTGGTGTGGTCTCGAAAGAAGCACTGAGACGCGCCTGAGTCCAGCGTGAAGGAGAGCGACCAGACAGCAGTCGTCACGGCTGGACTAGTAACTTTACAAGCACCTACACTAAAAGCACAAGTACCTACACTCGCAACAGGCAAAGGTCCTAAGCTAGGTATACGCAAGCCTAGAGATCCATAAGTGACAGAATAAGCAGCATCCATAGACATATCAAACACAGGGTAACCACTACGAGACAGTCTGGGCCAGATCAGTGGCCTCGACCCAGACCCAAAACGCTCACAGTAGAGGTTGTCGAGGCGGCTGTAGCGGCATTGTGCAGAGTGGTCAGGACGCTAGCAGGTAGTGCCAGCACCAGGGCCAATCAGGATATGGTAATAGCAGGGGCCGACGTCGCGGCCACTGCGACGAGCCCCCCAGCTGGCTGGGCCGCTGTTGCAGCCAACGCAATCCGAACCACCAGCCCCCCACGGTTGCTGAGGGCGCCACAAGTGCTGAGGTTCCCATTGCTAAAACTGCCACTGCTGCTATCCCTGCTGCTGAAGAACCCTAGTGGACGCCATGGTAAAGGCTAAGAGCGACTGGCCGGAGCAGGGTGCACGGGCTACGCGACGGGCTGGGGCAGGGCGCACGGGCTACGCGATGGGCTAGGGCAGGGCGCACGGGCGACGCGACGGGGTGGGGCAGGGCGCACGCTAGGCTAGGGCGCGGGCTGGGTGCGGGCTGAGCGTAGGCTTGCGCTAGGTTAGGGCGCGGGCTTTAGGGTCGCGCGGAAACGGGCTAGGAGGGAGGGCGGAACCGAGGGCGTGAGGCGCCACGGACGGAGCGAGCTAGGCTAGGCGAGGCCAGGGAACGGACCTAAGGCGTGATACCATCTCAAGTAGTACGCAGAGCGGAATGCTTGATTAGGAAATTTGATGGGTACAAATGCAAACCCTAACAACCTATACTCTCTAATGCATGCATCACTACAGCCTAGAACATAAAGTATGTATGTTTGACACTTACCCCGTGTAGCACTGATGAATCACGACAAAATATGCTTTTCTACTAAACAGTCCTAATGCATCAGTGTAGTAGCCTAAATTGAATATGAGGGCTTGGTACAGACAGCTCGATGTCAAACTATATCTATATATTTGTTGGTTATGCTTGGATACAGTGAGTTGCCCTTTAGAGGGTACACCAATTTGAGATTTCACACTTATATTCCACGCTCGACATTCTAGACACACGATTGACTCGATTCCTACTCTGAGATGGTATCGAGCTAAGTTCTTTCCTAGACGTCACCTAACTCCCTAGGAATGTTCCTGGACTAGTATAGTTATTAGCCCGCCGTAGCGCCTCCACCAGCCAGCCGTCTTGTCGCCCTTAACCAGCATGAGCATGCGCAGAATCAGCCGCTTGTGCAACAGCAGTCTCACGCTACCCCACTTTCCTCGGTAGCACGTCCGGTGTCGTCTCCCTTACCATATTCGTCTTCACAGTCATCGCAGCGGCATGTCGCAGTAGACTCTGGGGGTGCTGCTATTGGAGGTGTCGGTGCTGGAGGTGCTCGTTGTTAGGGTGTTGGTGATGGAGGTACTGACTTTGTGGGTGCTGGTACTGGAGGTGCTGGTGCTGGAGGCACAGGCATTGGAGGTCCTGAGTCTGAGGGTGCTAGAGCTGGAAGTGCTGGAGCTAGAGGTTCTGGCACTAGAGGTGCTGGCTCTAGGGGTGTTGAAGCTGGAGGTACTAGCATCGAGGTGCTTCTTCTAGGGATGTTGGAGTTGAAGATACTGGCTCTGTGGCGCCTGCTCAGCCTGCCATTGGTTTCCTGACGCGTCTTCAACGTCTTTGGCAGCTGGAGCAGGAGGAGCAGGGGCGTTTGGCGTAGGAGCAGCTGGAGCATCAGAAGCAACAGCAGAAGCCATAGACATCGCAGCAGCCACTGTTACAATGGTTGTCCCAACCTGTGAGTGGTCTTCAGACCCTTGGCCTTCCTTCCTCTCCTCTTGACCGTGCACTGTCTCGGCCTACTTACGGTCCTACGTTTCCTCCTCCAGACTCGTTTCCGACAGATTTCTCTATTTCTCGTTCACAACTGCCTCCTCCTGTTGTCCTGCACACTTAGACCACCCATTCTCCCCCGGGTGCTCGTGCCTCTTCTCCACTTAGTGACCTCCGTTCGGTCTTGCTTTGTGCTAGTCCTCCTCGTTCTCTGCCTCATTCTGTTCTCGCGTCACCTCCTGTGTCGTCACTTACAGCCTCCTCTCACCCTATTACTGATTACTACCGTACTGCTCGACATGTTGTCTCACATGTTCTTGCCTCTCTTGTCACGGACACCACTGCCTATCCGTCACCTGTCTCGGCTCTTGTTGCCATTGTCATTGACTTTGCTGCCACCCAGCGCCTTGACTACGCCACCCGCATGGTGGCTGCTCTCCCTACCCGTACTCTGTCCGCAGGCAGTGAGTCTGCTCTTGGCCATGACATCCTAGAGGACACGCAGTTTTGGCTTGAGTTCAAGGCAGCTACTTCTCCCCGCCAATGAGGCTAAAAGCCCACCTCAGTTCCTCTGCGGGTGATCTTAGCCTCAGGGCACCGTTCGCTGTAGAGGAACCTAGACTGCAAAGTTGGAGGGGTCTCGAGCAAGGGTTTTGAACCAGCTTCATTCTCGTCTCTCTTCGGTTTTTCTGTTCTCGTTTGGCCTTGCTAGGCCATTGGGGGCTTTCCAGGCACCCATTCATCGGCACTCGATTCTTTTGATTTCTAGGCATGGCAGAGCCCAACAGCATCTCCGCGTCTAGCACCACTAGCCACTCCTGCCCCACTGTAAGATCTTGCTTCTCTTGCTCCTCTAGCTCCTCATGTGCCTCCCGAACCAGCACCCTTTTGAATGATGCACCGCTTCTGCAGTGACTATACAGACACGGCCGATCTTCGTTACCGATACATGAGCGGGAGGCCAATTTGTGGGTGTTGGCGGCCTGGAACAAAGGCCTCGTCGAATCGGTAAGCAAGTTGTAGAAGTCTTTGTAGGACATTACGAGTAAATGCATCCGACCGCCATTTGGAGCGGATCCTTGCAGTGGACGGAGCGGTTTCGGTGACAGTTGAATCTCACCGTGAGCGCCAAAACCTGGGCCTGTCTGAAGCTTTTCTCTCGTGAGTCTATACTTGTCATGTGTTTGAAATTCGAAATGTTTATGCTTATTGTTTCTTAACTCTTGTGAAGGGAGAATTTTTCTCTGTTCTTGTAAGTGCTTATTGTTGACGAGAATTGAGCGTTGGCCCCGCCCTTGCTTGGGTGAAGCTAGCTTTGTGCTCGGGTGCGCTGGAGGTGTGGCCGACTGTCCGCAGAGGTCAACGCGTGCAGGTCGATGAAGTTGGTCGACCTGCAGTTGACCGCAGTGACCCCGCCGTCGACGAGAGCCGACGGCCCATTTCGACAGGGAGGTCGACGAAGGTGGTCGGAACTGTCGCGGAGCCGTCGAAGATGGGGGGTTTGACAGCAGCAGCTGGCCGAGTTGGTTGACGGAGGGGTCCATCGACCAGGGTGGTCTTCGTCAGAAGTGGCGGTCGACGAGGGAGGTCGTCGACCAGGGCGCCGGGAACTCTGCCAGGTCGACCAAGTAACCTCCTCGATGAGGTCTATGGGGGCGTGCGAATGTCATCAAGATTGCTGTGGTGAAGGCGACCTCGAGCTGTTATCCCGAGGTCGACGTGGCTCTTCAGGCACAAGTGTCAGCACGTGGCCGACCTGGCACCTGCGCGACGGTGCACAAACGTGCTCGACCGTCGCCGCACACCTACGAAGTTGGTGCGCATATGCGCTATTGTCATCTTCGGTTGCAACACTCGCTAGCCGCTCTGCTACAGCATTAGCAAGCCGCGCAGATGCAGTGCTGGCGGATTGTCGACTTGTAGAGTTGGCAAGCCGCCTTTCTGCAACGCTGGTGCGGTGCCTTTCTGTAGTGCTGGGAGGTCGATAACTTTGCTGCACTAGAGATTGACCTGCGTGGTCGCTAGGCTTGTAGGTCCCAAATGTAGTCACTTTTTTGTCATTGCCATTCTATCATTCTGTATTCTTGTTATCAATTTTTGTTAGTGGAAACTCTTGCAGTTTTTCCCTGTGAACGCACAAGTGCTAGAGAACAAAGGGATGGCTACGATCACTTATATTACCCGTGCCTTCACCCGTAGTTCAGCTCCCACCATGTAGAGTGACCTGTCAAATCATATACATAGTCATTGTTATAGGCTGTAGTAGGGTAGCCTGTATAGGGTATATCCCTTTTAGGTAGTTATGTCATGCTTCTTTCATAGTTCATCATTCTGCTGTTTACAATTCTAAAAATGGTATCAGTTGCTAGGTTAGGTCCGTACCTACCGCTAGTTACCCGTGCGTGTCCGATGCACAGCTGCCCCTCGTGCACTCTAACCCTCGCTGCCCCACGCGCCGCGCATGCCTTGCGCACAGATGCCTGTGCGCCACCGTGACACGCCTGCCCATGCATTCCTCGCGTGCAGCGCCTGCCCGCAAGCGCTGCCTTGCCACCGCTGCCTTGCAAGCAGCTGCCCGTGCGCTCGCTGCCGAGCCTGCCCATGCGCTGCCATGCCGCAGCCCGTGCGCTGCCTGTGCGCTGCTGCTGCCTGTGCACTGCTGCCGCCGGTGCACCACACCGCAGCCGCAGTCGCCCTTGCACTGCACCGCCACTGCTGCTGCCCTTGCGGCGCTGCTCCTCGTGCACAGCGCTGCCGCCACTGCCGCTCGTGCACCATACCGTCACTGCTGCGTGCGTACCGCTACCGCCCGAGCGTCACTGCTGCACTAAGCCATGCTACTGCTCACATACTGCCGGGCTGTATCCCGAGCCGCCGTCCATGCCTAGATCCTAGTGCGGCAGCCTGACCTAGTTTATGTCATGGCAACTATCTCTGTCCTAGCGTTTGACGCAGAGGGGCGCCTTATCAAGTTCGAGTCCTGGCTAGAGGATTTGCACCTGTACCTGCAAAGTGTCACTAGCGACGACGTCTCCTTGTTCGAGCACATGCCGGGGTCCCTTCCGGCCCCCACGACTTCAGCTGAGCCTATTGCTGACGTTAGGGAGGAGGTGCAGCAGAGTTACTGGGCTGACCGCGTTACCTATAGACAGTGGACGTCACGCGACGCCACCGCCCAGTTTGCTATCCGCACTCACTTGCCACACGACCAGAGGGCTTACTTTTGCCAGGTGACGTCGGCCCAGGCACTCTACGACGCTGTGGTTAGACACTACTCCTCCCCCTCTGCTGCCACCATAGGCCGTCTTGCACTGCCGTTTCTCTTCCCTGAGCTGTCTAACTTCACCACTGTAGTCGACCTCACGTCTCACGTGCGCTCCCTTGACACCCGCTACCGTGCTGCTCTCATGCCATACTTTCTGGCTGAGAACCAGCCCGTCATGTATCTCACTCTCTACTTCCTCACGACTCGCCTCCCTTACTCTCTTCACGCCATTCCAGACCACTTCCCTTCCCTAGACCTCATTGAGCCCACCCTTGCCTCGTTTGAGACCTGTCTCTTCGAGGCTGAGACTAGTGCTCGCGCTGTAGCTGCCTCCCGTGGCTCTCCTAGCCTCTCCTTCTTCGAGAGGTGCTCTCCCTCCCATCTCGTGCCCTCTGTTGCCTCTGCTGATACCGCGGACTTCCTTGGTGCTGAGGAGGTCATTACTGCGTTTGCTCCTAGCGGGAGGCGCCACAGCAGGGGTGGACATACGAGGGGTGCGGGTAGTGGAAATGGTGGAGAGGGCGGTAGCGGCGGGGGTGGTGGAGGTGGCAGTCGCAGTAGGAGTGACGGGGGTGGTGGAGGTCGTGAGGGTGCCAGGGGTGGAGGAGGGGGCTCGAGTGGCAGTCGAGGTGGAGCTTACAGGGGTGGAGGCCCAGGTACGGTGACTTAGGAAGCTGCGTCTGGTGGTGTTGAGGCTGCTAGTGCAGGTGCTTGTGAGTCTGATAGTGTAGGTGCTTGTGAGTCTGCTAGCGCAGGTGCAGTTCTTGCGGAAACTTTGCACACGTTCACACTGGACTCAGGCATGTCTCGCTGCTTCTTCCACGACTGCACCACTTTCACACCGCTCACAGCACCTGTCCCTGTCACTCTGGCTGAACCCTCCTCTGGCCCAGTCGTTGCACGCGGCTCCACTGTTCTCCCATGCCTGGCAGCTCCCTCTGACTTCCTCACAGGTCTCCACCTCCACTCGTCTGCTACAAACTTGGTGAGTAGATCACCTCCAGGATCCTCTGGCCTCCAGGATCTATTGGTCACTACCACCACTCCTGGGGTGAGCTCGTGGCGATTTGTACGGACACAGTGACTGGCGACCACCTCGCCACATTCACTTGGAGGCCTCGGTCTAGCCTGTACACACTGCACACTGAGTCTGACAAGTGGTCGTGTCCGATCACATAGCTACGTCTCGCTCGTGTCGGTTACTTACGCATCCGTCTCTCCTATGGCACCACCGTCTTGGTCACTCCTCCCTGCATCGTCTGCGTCGAATGCACTTGCATCTCCTTGCCTTTGGCCTCCCGATGTCCCTGCCCCTGCTCCCACCGTCGCTTGCACTGTCGAACACTCCCTGCGTCGAGGGTCGGCAGCGGGCCGCTCCTCAGCCCTCCTCATTTTCTCCGACCACTGCTCCTCTGCAGACGCTGCACATGGACGTGTGGGGCCCCGCCCCCGTCTTTGGGCTGCGCCGGGAGCGCTACTTCCTGCTGGTCATTAACGACTATACGCGCTACACCACGGTGTTTCCCTTGCAGCACAAGGGAGACGTCCGTGTTGTTTTGAGCCCTTGGATCCGCGTTGTTTGCTGCCAGCTGAGCGCACGGTTTCGTCAGGACCTCCTGGTATTCCGTCTGCACTCTGACCGTGGAGGTAAGTTTTCCTCCGGTCTCCTTGAGGACTTTTGTTACGAGGAGGGCATCACCCAGTCGTTCAAGCTTCCGGCCTCTCCACAGCAGAATGGGATCGTTGGGCGCCGCATTGGCTTGATAAAAGAGATTGCTTGCACCTCCATGATCTATGCGGCTGCTCCACATTTTCTGTGCTCGTTTGCGGTCCGATACGCAGCGCATCAGCTCAACCTCTGGCCCCGTGTCTCCTTCCCCACCGCAGTTCTCCTGTCCCCCCATCACCTTTGTTCCTGGTTCCGGGTTACCCCTCGGTAGACCCCCTCCCCCCTTGCGTCTTGCTCCCTCATGTCACACCACCTCCCTTGATTGAGCCTTTGGAGGTCTCCTCAGACCCCTCTGACCCTGATGAGGTGGGTGACCCAGCTGCCGACAACACTGTGGCCTCTCGTCGCTCACCACGCTTGAAGACCCCTCCTGGTTTTTTTCTCGGCCGTCTTCGCCGCCTCTGCCGCATGTCGTTATGGACTCCGTTGATGCTGGGGGTGGTGACACTGGAGTTCGGGCTTTTGGGATGCTGGTTCTGGGAGTGCTGGTTCTGGTGGTGCTTACTCTAGAGGTGCTAGTTTTGGGGTGCTGAGCGTCCTAGTGGTGGTGGAGCCGAGGGTGCTATTGCAGGAGGTTCTGCGGGTGCGTTGCAGCCTCTGCCGTGGTGGCCCTTGTACTGGGAGCAGCAACAGTCTTGGCTCCACTTCCTGAGTTTGGTATTGGAGGTTCTGGGGGTGCTGGAGCTCTGGTGCTGAAAATTCTGGTGCGGGAGGTATTAGAGATGGAGGTGCTGGAGCTGGCGGTGCTGGAGGTTCAGGTGCTGGAGGTACTACCGCTGGAGGTGTTGGAGGTTCTGGTGCTGGAGGTACTGGAGCTGGAGGTGCTGGAGCTGGCGGTGATGGAGGTTCTGGTGCTGGAGGTACTTCCGCTGGAGGTGCTGGAGGTTTTGGTGCTAGAGGTACTGGAGCTAGAGGTGTTGGAGCTAGCGGTACAGGAGGTTCTAGTGCTGGAGGTACTGCCGCTGGAGGTATTGGAGCTAGAGGTGCTGCCCAGCCACGGCAGCGGCGTCGGTTGTTCTGGGAGTAGCCGCGATCGTCGCTGCCACAACCTGGCTCGACACTTCTGTTAAAGTTATATGAAACATTTATCATGCTTGCTGTAGTTACTGTAGTGTTTGTACCTCTTGTTGGTGGTGTACCACATCCTCTGCATCATTCTCGACTAAATCTTATAACTCTCGTCATTATTGAAACCACTTCTTTGGTGAACATCCTCACTCCTCCCTTGGCACGTTTCTCTCGACACCCGCTTGGCTTAGGCTACTAAGAATAAGCCCTAAACCCGCTTCCTAAGCGATACTACTTTGACAACTTCATCACGTTCTTCGTCTTCCGTATGCCTCTGCAGAGCAGCCTACAACTGGTAGTGCTCCTCCCCTACTGGTCCTACCGACTGACCTGTCTCAGACACACTTACCGCCTGACTCCCCACTGCCTGTTCCTTCTCGTTACACTGTGCTGAGGGACTCCCTGACTGAGTGTCGAGAGCTTGTGTCTCATGGTGCCTCACCTACTGCTAGTCGTGCTCGCCATGTTTGCCCTCCATCTGTTCCTAGTGAGCACAATATGGCACTTCGTCCTTCCTATATTGTACAGCGTCCTGTCCTGCCGTGTCCTCCTGTGTCCTCTCTTCCTGACGTTCCTGACCCTGAGTCTGACCTTGCTCGTTGTCTGGCCACACTTGTCACTGACCCTACGTATGAGTCTGTTGCTGCGTCTCCCTTAGTCTCTAAGCTCATTGACTTTGCTGCTGCCTTGACTACTTCACGAGTCTTGTTACCGAGTCTGACTGTCCTCCGTCCGTTGGGGGTCAGCTTGCCCTTGGCTGTGACGTCCTTGGGGACACGCAGTTTCAGCTGTGCGGAGATAACTGCTGCAACGGGAGCTAGACTGCGGGCTAGGCACGGGTGCTCGTGTGATCTCTGCGTTCGTTCACTTAGTCGTTTCCTTGTGTTCACGCTACTTGCTAGTTCACGGGGAGAATTGGCAAGATTTTCACTAGGAAAACATGACAATAATCATCCAAATCAGTTGGCATGGCAAGACTACATCAGAGCTAGCATTCAGGTCGGTCCACTGCCAGCACAGCATGGTCGACCGCGTTCCAGCACGACTTGGTCGACCGCGCTCCAGCACGACTTGGTCGACCGCGCTCCAGCAGTGCAAAGTCAACGGCGTGCCAACGCTGCAGGTTGACGGTGTGCCAGCATTGCTCCCGTAGAACAGCAACGCACCTACTTCACAGGTGCTCGTAGATGATTGGCGGGCTAAGCCTCGTCACCTGAACAACGCACGCACCAAGTCATCCTCGTGCTGACAGCTCCACCTGATCCGCCACGTCGACCTCGGGATACCACCACCGAGGTCGGACTCGCCAACTTTGCCTGGGCGACCGTCGCACTCCTCCACAAAAGTTCATCACCCAGGTAACCTGGTCGAATTGGCAACCACGTCGACCAGCTGCTCCCGTACATGCCCGTCGACCTCCCAAGTCGGTGACCTTGCAAGTCGGCGCCGACTTCTGGGTCGACGTGCCACATCACCGACCACCAAGTCGGCGGCATTGCAGTGGCCCCGTGCAAGTCGACCAACCCCGTCGGCCAGCTCGCCCAAGTCGGCGTCGCCCACTGCAACAAGTCGGCTGTACCTCCTGTACACCCAACCACGAAGTCGGCTCCGCCCAAGCGAGGACGGGGCCAACAACAACTCCCTTTGACAAGCTGGAGTGCCTCGCGGCTGCTGTACCTCATCTCGCTGCCATGCTTCTTTCCCCTGAGGGAGACCCGGATGCACTGGACATTTACGCAGTTCCCCTTCCTGGGGCGAACATACTCGATGGCATGTGGATTTTTAGGGTGAAGCGGCCGCCAGGTTCTTCGCATGTCTTCAAGGCGCGTTACATTGCGAGAGGCTTCAGACATCGTCAAGAGGATGACTTCTTCCAGACCTTCACCCCAACCCAAAGATGACGAATCTTCGGGTGTTACTGCATGTTGCAGCACAGTGTGACAACGAGCTGCACGCTCTCGACTTCTTGACAAATTTCTTGTAGGGCAGCTTTCACTAGGAGATCTGGCTGCGCCGCCCACCTGGCTACACTAGGTCAATTCCTGCAGGTACCCAGTGGAGCCTCCGGCGGCCAGTCTACGGTCTCGCCAGGCGCCTCGCAAGTGGCACGACACACTGAGGACGACACTTGTGGCTCTTGGGTTTGCTCCTTCGACTGCTGACCCGTCGCTGTTTCTACGCATCGACACTTCGCTGTCGCAGCTCTACATCCTCTTGTACATCGACGACTTGATCTTTGCCACTGCTGACACTGAGGGACTAGCCCTAGTGAAGTCGGAGCTGCAGAAGAGACACACGTGCACAACCTGGGTGAGCTGCATAGCTATCTTGGCTTACAGATCACCCGCGACAGAGCCCGACACACCATTACCTTGACTCAGTCACACATGGTGCAGCAGGTCCTTCAGCGTTTCGGCTTTCAGTTCTTCTCGTCACAGCCCACTCTCTGCCTACGGGACACTCGCTCTCAGCTCCACTTTCGAACAAGTCCGTAGAGCCAAGTGGTACGTATCCAAAGCTTGTGGGTTGCCTCATGTACCTGAAGACGCGTACTTGGCCCGACCTCGTGTACCCTCTCAGCCTCGTAGCACGCTATGTTGCGCCCGGGAGACACCCCCTATGCACTGGGGGGCTGCTATGAGGGTATTGCGCTACTAGCCAGTACACAAGGCATGGGGCTTGTGCTTGGAGGACAGGGCCCTTTGTACTCACTGGATAATCAGACGCTTCGAGGGCCGACGACTAGGAGACTCAGCGATCATCACAGTGTTACACTCTTTGTCTCAGCGCTAGTTCTGTCTTATGGAGGTCCACGCGCTCGTCTTCTGTGCTTGGCTCCAGCTGTGAGGCCGAGATCTACGCTGGGGCTATGGCTGTGCAGGATTTGCGATGGCTGATCTACTTGCTCACTGACTTGGGTGAGCGGCCTCGTTCTCCTTCGGTTCTGTACGTTGGCAACAAGGCTAGATTGCCTTGTCTCAAGAGCAGAGACTGGAGCAGAGAACGAAGCATGTTGCCCTTCGCTACTTTCTCGTGGAGGAGTTGTAGCAGCGTGGACAGCTTCGTCTTCGTAACGTGGCCGCACAGGCCAACACTGCTGATGTCTTCACCAATGCCATTGGGTCTACTGACCATCAGCGTTTCT